TAAAATGTATTTATTTTTATCTTTTGATGAATACGATTTATGGAAAGAAATTGGGCATAAATTGGTTTTAGTTTTAAATATAAAACAAAGAATATCAAAAATATTAAACTCATATATATTAAAAACTTTCATTTCAAATGATAAAGGCTGGGCATGAGTATAACGGTCTTTAAAATTTATAAGACGTGCTACATGCTTGGCTGACAATAAAGAGGTTTAAGTTTATATTTATTCGAACTGCTCTAAGCAATGTTAGCCTAGCTGATGTGACAATTAATAAATGAGTGATGTAATTGTACTAAAGTAAGTTTATTTAAAATATTTCGTGCTTTGTATAATATTCCTATTCTTTATGAAGTTTTACTTAATAAGTTTTTAATGTGACTTTTCTATATAATATTTTCATCTATACAAATACCTAGAAAGTTAGTTACTGTTACTTTTTTAATTTGTATATTGCCAATAACAAGTTGAGCCATGTTAATTAGCAGTTCATGTTTTTTGAAAAGGGGATGGAATAGAATCCATTTAGTTTTATCAATGTTAAGAGATAATTTTTTAGTCTTAAACCAGTCCGATATTTTGATTAACTCGATGTTCACGTAATGAAATAGAGTAGAAATGCTTTTATGTGACATAAATAAATTGGTGTTATCAGCAAATATAATTGTTATTAAAACGGAGGCTTTGCATAGATCACTAATATAAATAAGGAAAGAAAGAGGTTCTAATATAGATTCTTGAGGAAATCCACATGTAGCATTTTAACAAATTTGATGAAAATGTTTCATCGGCTTCAAACAAATTGTTTATGATTAGTTAACTTTTTAACCATTTTAAAACATTGTTATAAATAACAATTTTTTAAAATACAGACCATAGTACTTTAATTTACAGACCATAATACTTTAATTCTATAACATACTATTTTAACTTTTCAGCAAGAATTTTATGATCAATTATGTTTCAAACGCTTTCGCTAAATCAATGAATATTCCCAATTTAAAATTTAGAATTAAATGAGTCTGATATACTTCTTGTAAGCTGAATAATAGTATATAGTGCTCTGTTGAATTTTTATTTTTAAATCCATATTGCATGTTATGTAATAATTTGTTTGATAAAAGGTTATTGTATATTCTGTTGCACTAAACTCTTTCTAAAATTTTAGAAAAAATAGAGAGGATAGAAATTGGATGATAGTGTTTTACATTAGTTTTTTCTCCTTCTTTAAATATAGGAATAATTTTTGCTTTTTTTAAATCATCAGGAAAAACTCTCTAATAAATAGAGCATTTAAAAATTTGGAAAAGTATGTCTTTTAAAATATGTCTTTTAAAACGTCAAAATAGCTTATAATAACATTCCCGTTGACATCATCTGGACCAACTGCTTTATTTGACTTTATTTAACAATTTAAAGCACTTTCAAACTCTTCAAAAGACAAATCAAAAAAATTTAGATGCAATTTTAGAAGGTCTTTAACTATTTAATTTTTTAGGGTTTGGAATTTTTTCGGCTAAGTTATTTTTATTTTTTTATTTTGCCATATAAATTTATTCATAGCATAAAACATATGTAAATACAAATAGCAGGGGCAAGAAGAAGACATTTGTCTTATCGCCAAGCCCCTTAATCTATACCTTAATTTACAATAATAAAATATAAAAATCGTAAAACTATAGCACTACAGCATATAAAATATTGTTATATAGACTTTTTATATTTATAAGGAACAAATAACAAACAAACAAAAAAATAAAATTCATAGGTCCTGAATGCCCTTCTCTAACTATATAAATCTACATTTTTTCTTATTTTAATATAACAAAAGGACAAAAATTAAATATCAAAGTAAAAGCAAATACTATAGTATAGCAAAAAATTATATACTTAAAAGGTATGCTCGCAAATACTCATAATCCTGAAACTTTCCTTTTAAACCAGTATACACCTTTACATATACATTAGAAGAAACCATGTGCTACGTTGCTCATCAACAGTCTTTGCTTCAATTTGGTCTTAAACTCATTAAGCGTTGCAATTGTTTTAAGATCATTAGTTAATATTTTATTCCATACTTTTGGTCTTCTTGCAGAAATTGAAAATTTAGTAGCCGCAAAACAATTCGTGGGCTGATGGTAGCTGTTATACGAGTATCTGGTTAAGTATCTATTCTGATTTATTTTGAATAGCGGGTTAAATATTTTAAGAGATAAATTTTTATTAATTTTTAACATAAATATAAGAAGATGATAGATGTTCATTTGGTAGATATCTATTATATTTAGCTTAATAAACAATGCTTGGGAATGTGTAAAACGTCCCACATTGGATACGATTCTGATTGCATTATTTAGTTTGTTAAAAAATTTTTTAATTAAATTTTTATTTGTACTACACCAAGCAATGTTTGCATAATTTAGATGACATAATGCATAATTTAGATGACAATAAATGAAAAAATTTTAATCAATATGGATTTAAAAAAGGTTTTGCTCTACAAATCAGACCGATGTTCTTAGAGATTTTACTTTTCGAGATAATATATGTGATCTCTCCACGTCACATTTTCATCAAGCAGAACACCGAGAAATTTCAAAGTGATTTCTCTTTTTACGTCTTGATTGTATTGTCTTGAGAGTTTCGGAAGTTTTAAAGGAATATTATCTCGATCATGAAAGCGATGGAAAATAGTATGTTTCGTCTTGGTTATATTTAGTAATAATTTATTTGCACTGAACCATTCAGTAAGATTTATTAGCTCTTTGTTTCCAGATTTGAACAGAATGTTTATATCATTTTGTGTATAGAATAGGTTTGTATCATTTGCAAATAAAATTGTATCTGGTTTACTGCGTACTTGAGTTGAATCATTGGTGTGTATGGGATATAGGGGTGGCCCCAATATAGAAAATTGAGGGATCCCACACATTATACTCATATCGGTCGTTTTACCATCATTTAAAGAAATGTATTGCGATTTATTTGTCAGATAGCTTCTAAACCATAAATTATTAATATTTTTTACACCATAGTTTTCTAATTTTTTTAGTAAAATGAAATGATCGACAGTGTCATTTTTTTGGTCCTAGGGATACAAAATGTTAATTAAGTTCGGAAGCAATTGTTTTTTTAGGAAGTTTTTGTTTAATTTTAGAAGAACTTCTGTGTTAAGAAAATAGAAAATACAGTTTTTCATCATGTAAAGTGATTTTTTGAAAATAGTAAACAAATTCAAATAAATTTTTAATTAGATTTCCGTATGACTTTACAACCATTTTGTTGTAAACTCATATGTGTAAAGTTTATAAAATTTTTTTTTTTGTTAATTTTTACATCTTTAAATGGTTACGTATAGAAAAAACTATGAACTATGGACTTTTAACTTGGCCATTAATTGTGTTGACTTTAAAAGTCAACACAATTAATGGTCTAGGTGTTTATTGTAATAAATAATAAGATCATCATGGATAAAAAATTGCAGGGATTGTTTAATTGCAAAGTTTTATAAAAAGACAACCAGAGTTTTCTTAACAAACACCTGAAGCAACTTTAACCGACACACTTTAGGAGAATTTTTCAAAATCTCAAAACAGCAATCAAGCAAAATTTGTGTGGAACTTTGTAAACTTAAAATGCTGCATTTTTATAGACTTTATAAGCTTCAAGTTTTATAAAACTTGTAGCTTATAAATTATTCATACAGTTGTGGTCATTCTTCTAATGAAAATTTATTTTAAGACTTTTTGCATTAGTATGTATTAGGTTGTAATGATATATACTTTATTTATAATAGTTTTAATTTTTTTAGATGTATTATATAATATACACTAATACCCTTCAACTAAAGCATTTATAGCATTTAGGTATAGCTGTATTAAGTCTGTAAGTAATGTTATTTATATAAGATCAAGGCGCCCCACGTCAGAGATCATAGTACCCTATTGCATGGGGTGCATAGATCTTTTGCAATGGTTGTTGTAATGTTGAAATATATCATGTTCATTTATTCTTTATTTATTTAAACATTTATTTTTCCTTAAAGACAGATTGTTATTAACTAGTTTTATTTAGTAATGAATAAGTTTTTATATCGATATCGGGTTGTTTGCAGTTTACAAAATATTGCTGCGGCTATCAATGCGCCCCTAAAATGTTCTTTACGTAAATCATAACTTCTCCAAATCATTTAGTAGTTTGTCTCTCTAAAAAATCTCTTTTAAGACCAGGAAGATGTGAAATATAACTACGCTGTTTCATCGCGCAAATATACGTGCATACATGCAACTTTAGTGACATCAAAATGCACATTCTCAGCTGATTGGCATGTGGTCACGGCGGGGATTTTTGGCACATAAATATCACGGCGGGGATATTTAGCACCTAAAACAGTTGACTTTCTAGTCTTTCTAAACAGTCGTTGAAACTTGTCTAACCTGGACATTGAAAGCAAAAAACAAAAATTTAGTGTATATGCAAAAAGATCAAAAATTGTGAAAACGCCCGTTGGTTGCAAGAACTGATATGTTTAAAAAGTTATATATGCTCCTAACATGTCAATACTATTTCAATACAATAATTCATTCGATTTTGTCATATGAAAAAATTGAATGTCTCTTTAGTGTAATGACTGTGGTCATAGTAGTAATATAACTTAAACATAAAATAATAAAAAGAAACCACTGACTGGCGTAAATAAATTAGTTTCCAGAAAGTCTAATGACAATTTCAGTCAAATTGTCAGGCGATCCTTAATGACGTCACGAGCCACAGTTTCATTTACACTTATTAGACCGTCTTTTTAGCTATTAAAACACAACAAAATGCAAAATATAAATAAATAAAAAATATTTTAAAACAAATAATTTATCTACAATTATATTTTAAGACAATTAGATTTTATTTATAAGCATTTATATATTTAGTTGTATATGAATAGTTAATACAGTATAAATACATTATATACAAAAATACATATTCAAAATAAATTACAACATATATTTATATTGTTAACAATGTATTTACTTTATAAATACTTCATTAAATATTAGGTCCAATTACTACCATAAAAAGCCATATTATTTAAAGGTTGATGTAATAAATAATATTTCGACATCAGGAAAAATATTACTAATATTCTCTGTTTTAAAAAAAATCCTACCACACTCTAAGATACATACATGGTGATTTGCAAAATAAAAATCGTTCTCTAGAGCTCAAAGAAAACTCTGGAAGTTTTAATTTTGTTTGTTAAATTTGTGTAACACACAGATTTGGTGTTACACTGCGTAACACACAGATTTGGTGTTACACTGTGTAACACACAGATTTTGTGTGTTAAAATTATGTAACACACAGATTTTGTGTGTTAAAATTGTGTAACACAGATTTTGTGTGTTAAAATTGTGTAACACACAGATTTTGTGTTTTATTGAATAATTTTATGAAAAAGAAACTATTTTCAAAGTTTTTGCTTTAACTTTCGTTAACATTGCATCCATGAACCAGATATGCTTTTTGGATAATAATTTTCTACCTCGCCCTGATCGTTTATACGATAATACTTGGAACCTAAATATTTGTTAATATATACCTTTAAAAAAGTATAATAAAAAATTAAAAAAAAAATTATATAATAAAAACGTTTCTTAATTATATAGTAAAAATAATTTATAACCACAGGGTAAAAGTTGACAAAATTTTATTAAATAATTTTCAATAAAAAACACCATTAGTCTATTGACTCACTTACCTTTAAAAAAATAAGTTCTTTTATTTTTCCAAACAAGTACAGAATCAACTTGTGTTGGTGCATTTTTCCAGCTTTTACTAATTTCTCGTGGGTAACCACGATGAGGAAAGTTTGAGTCGCTGAATTTATAACATAGATCTCTAGAAAAAAGATACGTTTTTCTGGTGGCTGGCCAAAGGAAAGCGGCATCAATGTGTTTTGTGTCGTTTCTTAACCCTCTGAACTTTTTAAAGATAGACCCACTTTCGAGAAGAATTAGTTTTGACAAACTTGAGTAAATATAGTAGCTATCCATATAAAGATATATAGTAAGCATAATTGAATATAATATTTAAACTATGTATAATAAAATATCATATACACAGAATATGTAACACGTATAGAATATGTTTATAAAATTATTAATTATTAATAATTTTATAATATTTATAAAAACATATAATAAGTAAATAAATTAGGTATACATTTATTATTATTGTCATTATTATCATCACTATTATAAATAAATAAATAAATAAATATATATATATATATATATATATATATATATATATATATATATATATATATATATATATATATATATATATATATATATATATATATATATATATATATATATATATATATATATATATATATATATATATATATATATATATATATATATATATATATAGGGCCGGCGCGAGTAGGTATCACGTGGATGGGGGGGGGGAGGGTGCCATTACATTTAACCGACTAGAAAAAAAAGGCTTCTTTTCGAAAATTTGCCGACTGCCATGACGACATTTGCCGACTGTCTACATTACCGACTAACCTATAAAAAGTTGATGGGGGTGGGGGGGTGGGGTTGGTTGTCGCACCCCCCACACCCCCCTATCGCGCCGACCTTGTATATATATATTATATAACTATTTTTACTAATTTTTTGAAACCTTGTTCCTTCAAAAATAATGACTTCTGATTTTCTATTTATGTATGCAGAATCAACGCTTTTAACATTAGGCAAAAAATGAGTAACAGGAAACGGGCCATCAATCTTTTTCAACCACTGATCAATCTTATAGACTTTATTACGATTAAATAAATACGTGATCCCAGAAAATTCATCAAACACAGCCCCTTTCATCGAACACAAAATGGTCGGATTGGTTTTTGTAATTTTTGTTGTTGTAATAATAGCTGGTTTCATAGTGGTTGTTTGTTTTTTGAAACCTAGGTCATAATAAAGACTAAGTGAATTTTGTGTCGGGAACGCTCTGTTCATGAATTAATAAAACAGATGCCACTAACTTGCTAGCTAACTAATAATTTCCTTAAAGTTACTTGTTTATTTGATAACGATTTTTAAAAGAAAATAATGATACATATATATAGTTTTTTTTCAAGATTAAATAATTTCGTTTTTTTTTTTAAAGATTCGTATAAAACTATATACATTGTACATTACCGAATTATTATACATTATGCTTTATTAAATTATTAAAAATGTATTACATATTAGTTAATTCTACAGGTAACGAAAAATATTGCAATATAAAAGCATTCTTACAGTTCAATATAAATACAATCGTGGTTTGTTATCAGTTTTAAAGATAAAAAAATTTAAAAAAAAAACATTTTGTACCATATATAGATTGTATTCCTAAAATATCATCTTTTGATAAAGTAAAGCTTTCTCCCATATACCCTTTATACCGAGGGTACATAATAGAATTTTCTACGCTTGAATGTTCTAATCCAATACAATGTCCGATTTCATGTACAGCTACCCATAGTAAGTTTATACCTTTGGTTGTACCAAGAGTGAATTCCGTTTCATCATAAAAATGAAGGTCACCAGATATGCCTGTAAAACGTAAGATACTTATAGCAGAATGTTAGGCAGCCCTAAAACTCCCAAAATTATATATATATATATATATATATATATATATATATATATATATATATATATATATATATATATATATATATATATATATATATATATATATATATATATTATATATTTATATATATATATATATACATATATATATATATATATATATATATATATATATATATATATATATATATATATATATATATATATATATATATGTATATATATATATATATATATATATATATATATATATATATATATATATATATATATATATATATATATATATATATATATATATATGTATATATATATATATATATATATATATATATATATATATATATATATATATATATATATATAATATATATATATATATGTATATATATATAAATATATATATAGACAAAAAAGACAGTATATCCAATATTTAACATTGAAAATGAGCATTTAATCGTAACAAAAAACACAGTATCTATCTGTATGTACTATTTGATACTTGGTGTTTATTCTGTAGTCACCACCACGGTTTCAGATATATAATAAAGTTATCAGTCGTGGTCACAACTTACACACAGCTGATATGATCATTATCAATGTAATACTGAATTATTAACAATTAACATTCTAACTTTAGGCTATGTTATCACAGATTAGTTAATTGTTGTTGTTGTTACAAAATACAAATATGCATTATAATTTTGTTACTGTAATATCGTTGACTTTTTGAAGATTGCCTAATAGTAAAAACTAAAAGTATAACTTAAATAAACTTCTTCTTAAGATGGACAACAATTTAATTATGCTAAATGAACAGCTAGAAGAGGATAGAAAAACTATAATGGTTGTGAGTATTTAAAAACAGTTTTGTTGATACTATATATAATTTTAATTGTAATTTTGATATATTATAATAATTAGCTAAATATATACTTAATCATTAAAGGGATTAGAAGAACTTGTAGATAATATTGACAGTAGATCTATGGGAACAAACAGTATTTATAGTCTATATGAGTATGGCCAAATATACATTGACGATGAACTTAAGAATTACGACAGTGAAATGAATCCTGATGATTTAATTTATCCTTTACAAGAAGTAGAACAGGTAAACAATATTGCAGTGTTAATAAAATAATAATATGATCTATTGATCTATAATTATTGTAATGATTTCAGTAGGTACTTCAAAGTCTAATCTAATCTAATAAATGAAGCTAATAATTAACCAATATAATATAGATACAAAAAAATCTTTTTTTCAAATTACTTGCATTTTTAGTTTGCCATAAGTACCTAGTGATATTTTGTTATGATAGAAAATAAAGTTATGACTTAAGTATAATAAATAAAATAAAACAATAATAATTATACATCTACAAAAACAAAGGTACTTAATACTATATTAATTTTATATTATACTATAATAGTATAATATAAAATGATCAATACTTAACTACCAATATTTTTGTTTTTGTTTTTTATAATAATACTATAACATTAGGTATATATTATATAAAATAATATTAAAAATACTAATACATAACTATATATTTTTCTCAATGGGTTTTTAGATTCAAGAACATGGTCAAAATAATGCATTACAGTTAGATGAAGAAGTTGATAATGATGTCACTAAAAAAGGTACCAAAAGAAAAAGAAAATCTTTCAGTAAAACTCCCTATGAACGCAGCAACTGATATTACAAAAACAACAACATTGTTTAAAATCACCATGTATATTATCTTGTAAACAAAAATGTACAGAAAAAATATCTCAGGCTCTTAGGGAAGTTATAAACAGAGAGACTACTGGAATATATCTGTAGCAGAAACAAAAATGTTTTTGCTTACATCAGTGGAGAGACAGAATGTTAAAAGTAGAAGAGGCAAAGAATAGGAAATAAAAAGAAATTGGTCTTAAAAATATTCATTTAAAAACCTGGTAAAAATGTAAGTGTTTGTAAGCATTTTTTTCTAGCTACATTAGGATATAAATCAAAGAATGATTCATTTGTATTTAAAATATGTTAAAGTATTGAGGATAAAAATAAAAATTCCATAGTGTCTCCAATAGATAAGAATAATTGTTCTCCATGGAACAAGCTTAACGAAGAATCCTTAAAGTCTATAAAATCACATATAGACACATTCAACCCATCTGTTTCTCATTATAGAAGAGCTCATGCACCGAACATGAGATATTTACCAAATGAAATTAATGCCAATTTTATGTATGAAGATTTTAAAAATAAGCTCTCAGATATTAGATGTTCATATAATGCTTATAGAAAAGTTTTAAGAGATAATAATATTTCCTTTACTAAGTTGGGTTACATGGAATGTGAGCAATGCGAGGAATGGAAGCAACATAATGCAAACCATAGTAAAGACACATTAAATGTATCTTCTAATACCTGTAATGTATGTCAAAAGTATGAAGTACACTTGGAGTTATATACACAAGCAAGATCCATATATGAAAGTCATAAAAAAGAATTGAGTAGTGATTCAAAATTAACTGTTTCTGTTGATCTTCTGAAAGTTATTATGTTACTCCGCATGGAATGTTTCAAAGCAGCTATATTCACTAAAAGAATAATAGTATTCAATGAAAGTTTTGTGCCAATAGGAAATAAAAATAAAATTAAACCTTAGGCTATCATATGGCATGAAGATGTGTCAGGAAGAAAACAGGAGGATTTGACTAGCTGTTTTTTTCAATAGGATTTGACAAGCTGTTTCTTTTATACAATAAAGATGTTAAAAATAATTCAATATGGATGGATAACTGTGCAGCACAAAATAAAAATTGGTGCCTACTGACATTCTTGATTTATGTTATTAATTCAAATGAAATTGAAACAACTGAAAATAATTTGTTCTACTTTGAGCCTGGACACTCATTCATGTCTGCTGATAGTTTCCATTACCAAGTCGAGTTATCGTTGAAAAAAACCGGTAAAGTATATGATATTATGGACTTTGAAAAAGTTATCTGTAACTCCAATGGTGGACATGTAGATGCAAAAGTAATGGCTCTTAAAGACTTCTGTGATCTGAATGTTCTGTTTATAAATTGAACAAGCAAAATATAAGACCAATGCTAAGTGACATTGTTCATATAAAGGTGGAAAGAACTTTGAATTATTTGCTTTACAAAACTGAATACAGTGAATATTGTCCATTGGCAAACTTGATTTTTTAAAAAACAACATCATTAAAAATGGGATTTTAAAACCAGACCAAAAAACTAAAGTTCTTGGTATTCATCCAAGCAAAAAGAAAAGTAAAATAAAAACATTAGTTCCTTTAATGCCAGAAACTAGGAAACAATTCTGGATTTTCTTTTTACTATGGAAGCACCAGATTTATACAGTGACAACGAAAATTAAAAATGTTAATATAATTATTTTTAGTTATTTTAAAAACTATATTATAAATAGTTGTTAATCTAAAGTAAAAAGTACTTACTTGCTCAAAAGTGTTTGCAACTTATTTATTTTCATAATAATATGTATATTATACCAAATGTATTGTACTAATAAGTTATTGGTTATTACTAAATTGACTACTAAGTTATTTTTTATTATAGTAATTACTTTTTAGATTTTTCCATTAATTTTCTTTATAATATATTATAATATTATATAATTTTACAGAAAAAAACAGTATCTCCCTATTATAATGAAAATGTTGTTAGAATAAATACAGTATCTCCCTAGAAATGGATATACTGTAAATTTGCTTCTGATAGAGCTTATCAAATAAGAAGTAAGTCTACTTTGATGGTCAAGGAATAAACGAAAATATTTAAAAACTCATAAAAACAATTCTATGATATAAAATTAGTATATAAACGTTTATTTTAGGATTGGATGTTAATTATGCTTGGTAGACGGATCAGTAATGTGTCTAAACTTGTTTAGTCGATTTCCCGACATATCGCTTAGATGGAGATACTGATTTTTTGCTTAGCACGGCAGTTTTAATAATTGACTTGAATGTTTAATAATTGACTTGAATGAATTGAAATGAACATCTGTAGCCAAAAGTTTTATCAAATCTTTTAAAACATTCGACGTTGCCTTACATGTACATCTTCTAAAGCAATCCCGGTAGGAAATTAGCAAGCGACTAGCGAGCGACTAGCTATAGATTTATAGCGATTTTCAAGCGATTTATTTTCTTATTTTATTTTTTTCTAATGTTTTTAACATCTTTAAAAATTCAATTTTTAGTGTTGACTCTATTATAATTATGAGAATAATTAAAAGTTCAAACATTGCGATTTTGTAACAATGTGTCGCTAGCTACATATTGAAGCTTTATAGCTAGCTACAAAATATCTACAAATCTATAGCTGGCTGATAGCCACATATCAAAGTTTTTTAGACAGCGATTTTATTACAATATGACGCTAGCTATAATATCCAGTGGGTCTTTAGCTTATTAAGCTAGCTGTCCTCGAAGCTAAATCGCTGTCTTTATCTTTTCAAATATCAATAGCTTTTCGCTAACTTAAAAAAGCTAGCGATCCTCGTCGTCAAATCGCTGCCTTTATCGTAACAATTATAGCTAGCTATTCGTTAGCCGATTTCTTACCGCAATGTTACTAATGACCAGTAACTAGGCATGTAAAGATTAGTCTTTTCCAACCAATAATATTGCTCATGTTTTTCAGGTAGCAATTCATGTGATATCAATTTAAAAAACTTAATGATCAGAAAAACTTATGACAGAATATGCCAGGCTTTTCTCCTAAGTCTCTATATACATAAAAGGGTGTAATAATCCACAAGAGATATAACTTTGTCTTCTATACATAAAGAGAAGTGTTTCGATTTTTGTTTCCTTGAATGGTCTTCTTTGTGTCACTTGTGTTATCACATATAAGTGAGCGAAATAATTACTGTAAAGTTATTAAACTAGCTAAATTTGTTAACAGAACCCCAAATACAACACCCCTCCCCCCCAAAAAAAAATACATTGCTATTGCAAATTAAGAAAGAAGAGACGATGGCAATGTCAGTTCTGAAAAAAATTGATGTACTTCGATCTGCAGAAATTTAAAAAACATTTTCAATCATATTAAACTCTGTCACACAGAACTTGCTATCGCAAACTATGCTTCCATTAAACTGTTTAACATCATGTGCAGATCGCTTAATAAATAACTTTGGATGAAACAGTTTTTTTGTTACATTTATGGAGCTGCCTAGCTAAATTAAGAAATCACCATTTATTTATAATTAAATATATAAACCGAATTTTTGAAATTAATATTATTTTCAAATGAACTCATTACTGCTTCTTATTTTTTAACAAATATTTTAAATTACTTTTAAGTTATGATCATAAAAACAATGTTTTCAAATAAAATTTCAATTACTTGAGGAGCCCATCTCACAGATCTGAGCCCATCTCACAGATCTGAACCCATCTCACAGATTAAGTCTGAGTGAATTGATTTTGAGAAATTGACAAAATAATAGAAAACTTTTAGGCGCAAACAAAAACGTCTCTTTTATAAAAGCAGATGGAAATCTCGAAGCATTGTTGGCTTAAAAAGTTAAATCTAAAGACAAAGTTTGGCAACAAACGAATGCAACATAAATTTCCGAAACGGTTTTAAATAAACTAACAGGCATTTGTAGTCAAACTTATAAAGCAGAAAAATAAACTTATAAAGCAGAAACTTATAAAGCAGAAAATTTATAAAGCAGAAAAATAAACTAAAAACTCTAAGTATTTTTTGTGATTGCAAATGAAACGATTCATATTTCTTTAAATACTTATAGAGCATATTTTTTTTTTTTGAATGTATACTTTGCTGTTCATATAATAAAAAAATAAAACAAGTTTCAAAGATACGCTAATGTTACATAAAGGTGGCGTATAAAACAGACAGGGACTCAAAAAAGTTTCATCTCAATCTTTTCATTGCCCAATTAACAGTAGCATTAAAACTCAAACTGGTTCAACAAGTTTAATGTATAATATAATATAATATAGTGCAATATAATATATAATATAATATATTTCAAAATTATTATGTTATTTTCTGTTAAAAAGATGTTTTTGAGAGATAAATACTTCTAATACTTGTTCACCTTAATTAAAGTACATTTTTACTTTAGGTCCGTTCATAAATAACATCCCCAACTTAACCCTCCCTCCTCCATCACCACCTTTTTCCTTATCCTTTATAGATAGCCCCTTTATTGTCAATTTCATTATTAGTAGGGATGTACCGGATATCAGCTCCGGCTCCGGCTCCGGCCGAAATCCGGCCATTTTTACAAATCCGGCCCAAATCCGGCTCCGGCAAAAATTTAGCAAATCCGGCATAATTTTAGCCGAGTTGAATTTTGTCAAATATTTATTACATTTTTTTTGCCCGTGTTTACATGTATACCTAATATTTTATTTATAAAAATCAATTTTTTTTGTAATTCTATATTTTATGAACCTCATATTTGTTTTGGTATTTGTATTTATATTTCTTTATAATTTAATAAGCTAAGTCTAATTTAAAACAACAACGCCACAAAAAATTCTGAAGGGAAGACACACGATATTCTAGAATGATGCAGGTATAAAGACTATGATGTTAACCCTAATCAAGTGATTGGATGAGCGTTTTAAAAGCATTGAAAAGAGAAACCTCTTTATATACTGACGAGGCTGGTTGACTCACAATTTAAAACTAAATTCTCCTCATTACAGGCAACACTGACAGCTGAAAAAACAAGATTGAAGTCAATCTGAGCATGCTGAACAGAAGATTAACAAAACTGAAGAAAATCCACCAAAATAAGCCGGGCTTAATAATTTTTTTACATCATCATCATCATTACTCTGGCAATTTATTGATAAAATTATTCAGTCTACGTCCGCTGGTGGCAGGGCACATAAACAACAATTACTAAAAGGCATTGAAACTCAGCTAAGGAAATATCCGAAAGAACCAGAAATAAATAGACACAAAGGATCCACTACAGTGGCGGAGTGACAAAATCCCGGAAAAAAAGTTCAATAGAATTACTATAAACTTTTAAAACATATAGCCTATAGAATTTCTTTAGAATTTCTATTAGTTTATATATAGAAATTGCTATAAAACGTTTTAAATAACAACAATGAAGTTTAACAGAAAACAGCAGTCACTTGGTATTCTGAATAGTCCACATTGTTGACTATGCTCAAAACCAATTAGGGATGTACAGGATTTTGGCTCCTGTAGTTTTGTTTTGAAATCCGGCTCCGGCTCCGATTCCGGCCGGATCTGTCAGTAGAAATCCGGCAAATCCGGCTCCGGCCGGATTTGAAAAAATTAAATCCGGTACAGCCCTAATTAATAGCATATTCAGTATAACAATAATTCTGAAATCCAAAATTGTTTTACAAAAGTTTATTTACAGTTATGTAATCCTAAACTCGTATTAAAAATTCAAATATTTTCGAAAAAAAAAAATATTAATTTAATAGCATATTCAGTATAACAATAATTCTGAAATCCAAAATTGTTTTACAAAAGTTTATTTACAGTTATGTAATCCTAAACTCGTATTAAAAATTCAAATATTTTCGAAGGAGTAGTGATGTAGGACAGTAGTTACAAACAGTAAAACAATCACCTTTTCAGAAAACTAGATGAAATTTGACTAATTCTAATTTATCAGGGAATATACTATTTTTAAATAAAGGTTTCAATTAATTTATATTAATAATTTTATTATATATATATATATATATATATATAATATATATATATATATATATATATATATATATATATATATATATATATATATATATATATATATATATATATATATATATATATATATATATATATATATATATATATATATATAATAAAATTATTAATATAAATTATTTGAAACCTTTATTTAAAAATAGTATATTCCCTGATAAATTAGAATTAGTCAAATTTCACCTAGTTTTCTGAAAAGGTGATTGTTTTACTGTTTGTAACTACTGTCCTACATCACTACTCCTTCGAAAATATTTGAATTTTTAATACGAGTTTAGGATTACATAACTGTAAATAAACTTTTGTAAAACAATTTTGGATTTCAGAATTATTGTTATACTGAATATGCTATTAATTTAATAGCATATTCAGTATAACAATAATTCTGAAATCCAAAATTGTTTTACAAAAGTTTATTTACAGTTATGTAATCTATAAAATCTATATTCTAATAAGTTTAGAGACATTTGTCAATAAATATGATAATAAAATTGCTGACTATTAATGTTTTTTTATAATCCTGCACTATTAATGTGTCTTTATGATCCTGACGTTTTTGTAGCACTTTGTTGCGCTAAAAAGTAATAAATCATATCATAGTCTAAGTTATTGAGAACACTCAATAATAATCTCATTGGTGTCTAAAATACTATAAAATTTGTGTATTAGTTACTTTTATGGTGGCGCTGTGAAACGAATGAAGCATGGACAAATGCTATTTTTAGTCATAGAATACTTTTTTTTTAATGTTTTTATATTTTCGCCGTATTTATTGTGTTAAAATAACATATTGAAAAACCTCATAATTGGAAGTTACCTTTATTTGTGTTTGGATAATACCCATGGGCTAAAACAATACCAGCTCCATAAAATAGAGAGGGATCTCGTTGTTGCTGTTGGAAACGATATAGAAATGATACATCAATATCGGCATACTCATTGCTATTTTTCTCAAGTTTGTGAAATCTTAAGTTTGTTACCGCTTCCCATCTTGCAAAAGCTTGTTGTAGAGTGTCTTCTACTTGACTTCGACTCAAATTGTCGTTATTATCATTTAAAAGTTTCCATGTTAAATCCTAAAATAAGATATTTATTGTTAAGAAAGAGATAGATAAAGTTATTTATTTGGAAAAAAACACTCTCACAGATTTTTTCCATTTTGATCCCTGAGGAGTATATCTTCTTATTCTTGTGTCTTGTAATCTACTACTGTCCGGCATTGCGCAGCGTACATTTTTGGTTAAAACGGTTGATTCAGGAATGTAACCAAACATTGGTGAAGATTGTAATTTTTTATTTGACCTTTTATTAAGTATCAATTCTATCTCTGAGTCTTGCAAATTCAAGTGGCCATTCATAGACATGTGATCCTAAGTTTATTAAACAAACAAAAATATAGTAATAACTTAACATATCAAATTTTGCTTGTTGATAAAAAAAGAATTTACATAATGATTTAATACCCTCCCAGGGTGAATATCAAAGGATTTTCATGCGCTAAATCGACGGAGTGAGGATTTATTAATTTGGAAAATATTTGCACCTACTACGAGCATAATATGATATTCCCAATTCCTTTCTATTGGTTTTCGCCTGTTATCAACAAAAAAGATACATCTCAAAACTAAAAAAGATGTAATTAGGCTTCGAAATCATCGACATATAAAAAAAATTTCGAAAACCTCGATTAAGTAGAAAATGAGATTTTGGTTTTGCTACAAATTAAATAATTCCTAACTAATGATCGATTATAATTCCGTTTCGGTATCGGATTCGGCTGCAATTTCAACTACAAACAATACAGAAATTTGGGTATCGGTACATTTCATAAATTTGGTAAAAAGTAAAAATTTCGGTTAAAAAAAACATACCGAAAATTAAAACTTTTTTATCATTATAAATTTTTTTTCAATTAAGAAAAGTATTATTTTAAACACAGTTTCCAAAAAATATTTTACCATTTCAAAATGAAGTTGTAAGCTTACCGTTCACAAACTGCTTGACTTTTTAGTTATTAAATAGCGCCTATCCAGTGACGGATCCAGAGGATAGGGGATGGGGGAGGGGGCGGTTTGCATCGTCTTTTCTTCTGCCAGAAATCATAAAAAATTTCAACATCAAGATTTAAAGTTGAACACGATTTAATAAGCAACAGGCCCGAATCTTACTTTTAAAACTCTATATAGCCTTGAATAAATTGTATTATTCTGCGCTCTTTATCTAATAACTTTCTAAGATTTACTTAACGTTTTATTTATATTTTTTTCACTTTGATGTTATCATAAAAAATGATACCGTAATACTGCATTGAGCTCTAGTATTATTTTTTTTTTCCTTTGTGCACTTTTTTTATAAGTAAAAACGTCAAAAAAATATTTTTATGAAGTAAGTTTAAACATGAAAATGAAAATTTACCAAGAAAACTACAGGGAAGAAAGTTTTATGAACCCTTGTTGTTTATAAAAAATGAAAGATAAACAAACAAAAGATTTTCCTAGAAAATGATTGTCATTCAATATAACAAAAGAAAAACTTTATTGTTTAGCATGCCGTATTTTTTGCAATCGAAATAACAACAGTTTGTTATATCATTTTTTATCAGTTATTTATATCATTTTTAAATTAGCATTCCAAGGAGAGAATACAACGATTAGGGATATTCATAATGGTAACTTCTTATGAATTTTAGAATTGATTAGAAAGTATGATAAAATAACGCAAGATTTAACAAACCCAGTTAAAATAAAAAAGTATGAAGGGACATTATTTGTCTAGGTATTCTCAAAATGAATTAATCAAGCTATGTTCAAACAAAGTACTTAAAACTACTCTTGGTCACAAAAAAAATGCTATCTTCTATGGCATGATAGGTATGTATCTTAAAATATAGAAACCAAGGAATTTTAATTGAGCGTTTCTTAGAGTTTATGAACTTTAACGGAAAAATAGGGAAAAAAAAAACAGAAATATTTGCCATTCTAGAAAGACATAACATACCTTTTAAAGATTGTGTTTAGCAAGGTTACGACAAGGTTCACTGTAAATATAACTTCATGTTTGAAATAACATTTAAAAATGATGCTTTTATAAATAATAAAAATAAAATTTTGACAAATAAAATTTGGCAACCAAATAAAGAAACTATCTTGTTTGATTAAATTTAATCAGTTCAAGCTTGGTCATATTTGTGGTTATAATTAAAAGTTATTGTTTTAAAAAGGGGCGTAACCATTTCATGATAAATATGAAGTTAAGCACTTCAATCTTAAGTGGATAATTAAGTCATTAAAACCTCATTAACTTGAAAAATCAATTTTGAAAAATTGATAACTTGAAGTTTAGTTTTAAAACATTTTAAAACCTAATCTTTTTTAAAACAAAAAAAAATAAAAAATAACAATTTTTCAAACACAAAAAAAAAGTTTTATCTGCTAAAGAAATTTTTTTTTTACTTTTTGTACGTACAACCATTAAGGAGGGAGCCTACAGAAGGCTCCAGCATGGGGCTCCGTTTCAGAATATGGGGGCCATGTATATATATATATTTTAAATGAGAATATGGGGGCCATGTATATGTATATATATATATATATATATATATATATATATATATATATATATATATATATATATATATATATATATATATATATATATATATATATATATATATATATATATATTATACTAAATATTTTATTAAAAATCGCTCTCCGCCTGTCCTTTATGTTACGACTTTGAACAATGTTAATAATTTGGCAAACAAGTTGGTCATTATTCCTTGCGATAAATCTATTTACTATTTTGATTTGTTGTCCAAAACTTTGTCCTAAACTTTATATCATATTTTACAGATAAATTGGTATACTGCTGTCATTGTGGTAGTGTCGTACCATTACGCGAGAAAAGGAATGGACATTCCGTAGATTTTTAGCTATCTACCTGTATAACATTCTACCTGTATAACAGTACCTTGGTAAAATTTTTGGAAAGATTACATTATATATGTGAAAAATCAAAGCAGAGATTTTCTTGTTGTTTTTGCAAAAATATTTTTAAATCATATGATTGCTTCACGCAAATTTCCAAAGAATAAAAAACTAAATAAATACCAAAACTGAATAAAAAAAAAATTATTGACTGAAGTTTGTTGAAACTATAGTCTCAACAGACTATAGTCTCAATAGACTAAAGTCTCAATAGACTATAGTCTTAATAGACTATAGATATATAGACTATAGACTCAACAGACTATAGTCTCAATAGACTATAGTCTCAATAGACTATAGTCTCAATTGACTATAGTGTCAATAGACTATAGTGTCAATAAACTATAGTGTCAATAGACTATAGTGTCAATAGACTATAGTGTCAATAGACTATAGTCTCAATAGACTATAGTCTCAATAGACTATAGTCTCAATAGACTATAGTCTCAATAGACTATAGTCTCAATAGACTATAGTCTCAATAGACTATAGTCTCAATAGACTATAGTCTCAATAGACTATAGTCTCAATAGACTATAGTCTCAATAGACTATAGTCTCAATAGACTATAGTCTCAATAGACTATTGTCTCAATAGAATACAGTCTCAACAGACTATTTTCTAAATAGACTATAGTCTCTATAGAATATAGTCTCAATAGACTATAGTTTCAATAGACTATTTTCTCAATAGACTATTATCTCAATAGACTAAAGTCTCAATAGACTAATGTCTCAATAGACTATAGTCTCAACAGACTATATTCTATTGAGAATATAGTGGTTAGCGATCGTTGAAAATTTGCGTAACGAAACTTTTTGAAAATAAAAACCGCAACTAAAAAAATGTCGGAGTTTTATTTACTAAAAGCAAAAATCTACAAAAGTGTTTAAAACTTTAAAACTTTAAGGACGTAATTGTATGGACGTAACTTTTAAGTATAAACAGAGTATTTCTTTTAATTATTCACGAAAGTTCTTATTTCAAAACACTAACATCGAATTTCTGGCAATAAATACAAAACCTGAACGAAAGCTTTGTACTACTTTATACTGTTTTATAAACTACAATTATTGAGTTAATTATTTTTATTTGCATTCATTATTCTAAATGTCATTTAAATTCTATTAAAACATTCTTGTCATGTCAACTTCGGAAGGCGCCGTGAACTTCCTGGTTTAATGTTTTTCCACATTGCTATGCGCAAGATATTTATATCTTCTTGCAGCACCTTAATGAATAATAAAATAGAAAATTTTTGTTTATTACCGATTTATATTAGATACCAGATTAATTGACAACCTAAAAGTTTATTTATTTATTATTATTTTATTTATTATTATTAAATTAGAGAAAAAACTCTGTTTATTTTCTCTAATTAAAGTTTAAGGTATAAAAAACAAGGTGTGTTGATTCTATTGTTATTCTATATATAAAATAAAACGAACAAAAAAACTTTGTTTCTATTCTCAAAAACCTTTGCCAAAAATCCAATAAGGTAATGATACCACCCTCTAAGGTAAAGATAATTCAAAGATTAACATCAATGAATAAAAGCTTTATTTACATAAGCAAAGTAGAAATTAACAGTCAAATTTTGATAATGATACATTATTCCATAATGACTATCGTTTGACACACAATTGGATTTATCATTCTGTTCATATTTGAGCTTATAAAGGGATACCTAATGTGAAGCATGACTCATCACGAATCCTTTTTGGAACCTTTTCGGCAATGTATTCTTAATAAAAAAAAGTTTGTCTCGAAATGATTTTAAAGTCTGAGAACTTATCTTGAATAACATCACAAATAAAGTTGAAATGGTGTAATAAATTATGATAACAATCATAACAATTCTGACTTAAATATCTGAAACAATTGAATATGAATCATCTGAAATTAAATAGAGCCAATAAATGAGTGTTGTGAAAATCTTAATAATGAAAATGATAAAATAGTAGTCGTGCCTGAAATTTTGAATTTCTGAAATTATATTTTTGTTATTAAATCTCAACCAAGCAATGTTACGTTTGTGGAAGAAAAAAAACAGCTAAGTGTTTAGATTCAGGGGGTAAATTTGTAAAGCTCTGTGAAGCTTTAACTGAGTGCAATTTAAAAGTAGAAGAAGTGAAAATGCAGACAATTTGTTACGACTTTGAACAATGGTAATAGCTTGGCAAACAGGTTGGTCATTTGGATATACTGTTTATTGAAATCATAGAGCTTGACTGTAAGGTAAAAATTTAGCAGATTATGTGCTGAACGCCAATGAATAAACTCTTTCTAACGTTTTGAATTAAATAAAATACGACAGTACTCAAATACTTACTAAAATTTTTTTTTTTTGCATGGATATCGTCTGAAAAATAAAAATGA